TCCTGCTGATTAAAAAAAAAAAAAAAAATCCACCAAACAAGCAAAGGCAAACAACATAAAAGAAAATCTCCACTCCATCGTTGCTATTTTCCATTCCTACCGAACTTAAGCTTAGGGTTCTGTCCAATTTTTGACTCATTATTGACTAAGGCCGTTTGAGTAACAACATAAAGTTCGAGGCAATGTGATGTTTAAAACATAAAGGGAACAATACGAGATTAGGTACGTAATTTAGGGGCTATTTATAAAAATAATCCTTAATTTTTCTATTATAATATTTTATAATACTAAATTTATGGGTTATTTGCACATTTCCGGGTTTGGGAATTTGCCCCTTGAAGTTTTAATTTGACAATTTGTCCCCTAACTTGCAAAATAGTTAAACAGGAACAACGATCGATCTAATGGGTTTCAATTAAACATGAAAAAATTCATCTAATGGTGAGCATGTCATCTTCCACGGGCTTGATAAGACAATCCAACAACACATAGAGGGCATTTGGTATGGGGTAATCTTAAAAGTGGGAATGAGAATATGAATGATTTTCATGGGTTAATCTCAGAATTACCATGTTAAACAACAATGCATAGATTTTTTTTTTTTTTAAAAATGATCAAGGGATAGTATTATCTGATTTCTATTCCTTGGCTTTCGTATTCGCATAAATTCTTGATTCCACATCAACTGTACCCGTATAATCTCTTGACGACAAGTGCTTGCAAAGTAGAGCAAAATACAAGAATCTCAAATTTCCTTTTATACTTCATATAGCATAATAGCACCAATAAATATAGATGAAATAAATCAAATCAGTCCTTGTTAGATTGGGGCGCTAGCATGATTTTTCTTGCCCACTTTAATTGTTCTGCTCTATTAATTTGGCCATTTCATCTTCTTTTTCTTTCCCTTCCCGCTTTTTGAAGTTAAATTTCCTTATAATTTATAGTTTAATTTAGAATTCATCACCTGATAATAGTAGACACAGCTAGAAAAATGACTAAAACATAAAATCAAATTCAAAACCAATGTTTACTTTAGAATTTCACCTTCTATATTATATAATATTTACTTTAGAAACAAATGGGGAAAAAAATTATAAAAGTTAAAAAGAAATTGACACACACAACAATCAAAAAACTCAACTCTGCATTGTATGCTTTTGTTTGTTTCTCGGCAATCAAACAAGCCGCAGCACCAAAAAAAAAAAACGCTCAAACAAAAAGAAAATGAAACAAAATCGAAAAAATGGAAAATCCACGAGGAAACAGAGTTATCAACAATTAAAATAGGAATAACGCTCACCAGAATCAGAGTTGACTAGAAGCAAGGAGACTCTCACTCAGAGACGCCGAGGAGACGAAATGCCGTAGGAGATCACTGGGCAAAGGTTGTGAGTTTGAGGCTGAGAGAGAAACTGAAAGCCGATAAGTGAAAGTGTGAAACTGAAAGAGATGAAAACGAAAGTTGAGTAGGGTTTTCCAATATGGAGTATCAGTTTCAGAAAAGAAAATAATAAAGGATGAAAATAACAAAGGACTAACAGAAAGAAACAGAGCGAGAATTAAAGACGTCCGTCGGAGCTTCAGAAAGAAAGAGAATAAGAGTAGGCAATATGGAAGTTGCCAAAAAAAAATTATAAAATAAAATAAAATTTTTCTGCAGTTTCTAAATTTTAAATTAAGGGACTGTTTTTGTATTAATTATAAATTATTGATTTAAAGACATTTATAAAAATTGTTAAAACAAAATTATAAAAGAAAATTATGATTCTTTTATAGTTTTTTAATTTTAAATTAGATGATTGATTTTGTATTAGTTGAAAGTTGTTGACTTTAAAGACATTGATAGAAGTTGTCAAAAAAACCCCAAAATCATATCTCTTCTATGAATTAAAATTTTCTTTTAATGGCTTACTATGAATCAAGTTATTTATCCCAAAAAAAAGTGCCAATTTTTTAAACCAATTTTGGATGAAAAATTAGTACAATTCGGTAATTTGACTTCATTTAAGTTGTTATTCACATTTTTCTTTTTAAAATTCTCCCACTTTTGGAGAGATTAAATATGATGAGACTCACCAATCATAATTTTCATTCAATTTTTTTTTTCTTCCCAATTTCTTTTCTATCAAACAAACTAACTTATCAATTTTTATCATAAAATCCCTCTAATATTTTCTTTTATTCCACTTTTCATTCGTACCAAACACACTATTAAAGCTTCACGAGTTTTGAGCCGTCTTAAATTTTATAAGATATCTTTTAAAAAAATTTAAATATAAAGTGTTTGAATGAAATATGATAGATTGTGGAACTTACACGGAAAAAATTAATAATAATAAAAAAGTACATTAATTAATGAATATGACTCGACGAAGGTGATTTTCACGTGCCAAAGGAGAAGAAAAATAGAACGTAACTTGTTGACGTTAATGAAAAATTCGAAGTCTAATTTGATTGAAAAATTCGTATATGAGATTTGGTTAATAAATTGGATTGGCATAACATGCATTTCAGTTTATACCAAGAGTTTTCCATAACATCATGCATCCACTATGAGGCACGTACCGCGACGAAGAAAGAGACAGATTGTGGGGCCCATGAAAAAAATAATAATAATAAAAAGTGCATTAATTAACCTCGACGAAGGTAATGTGAGAAAAAACGAAAGTGATTGACGTTAGTTTTGCAGATTGCAGTGTTGACAGTAGATTTTGCAGATTGCAGTGCATTAATCTTTCTCATGTATTTTTGTAGATTTTGCAGACACAAATTAGATACATTGAAAAACATTCTTCCTCTCGCTAACGTGTCTCTTAATCACTCTCCTACTTAGCTATGGCCCAAAACATTATACTTTTTATTCAGCTTGTTCTCCGAATGCAAAAGTTGGAACAACTGACTTATTGTAAAAGTCTATCATGAATAAAAATTAAAATAAATAAATTAAAACATACACAAAAAAAATATTAATTGATTTTGTGCCCCACACCTTGTCTTCAATACCAAAATCTATTGTATTCCACATCTGTAATTCTGAAAGCACAACATTTCGTTCATTTTCAAGATAAGAAGCTCGTATCTTTGACTTGAAAGCTTGCTGTATCAAGAATAAATTAATGCAGTATTCTACATTTGCATCTTTTTCATAAAAAAGACAATTAATTGACTAACGTACATACGAAAAGAATAGTAAGCATCAAAAACATTACAACTTCCACAATGAGGCACATACCTCATTTAAAGCATCTAGTACGTGGGGAAGAAGATCTACATCAAGTAAATCATCACCAAAATGCTAAAATAAACACAAAATTAGGTCCAAAATAAAAAGTATTAGAGTGCAACACTATTTATTAATATCTAAATTGTATAAATTGAGAGTTCTTCATCGTAACAACTCAAAATTCCAAGCTAATAAAACCAAACAATAATAGAGTGAAAAGTTGAGAGATTAATAACTAAACAACCTCCAATGTGACTTGTGAATTGATGTGATAAACTGTCCCATGGAAGTAAGTGTATGCTCCATTCGTAGCTCCTACATAAACAAGTTCAGAAAATTTTTCACCCTCATTTACATGTTCAGCCATATGTGCAATGCCTTGTTCATCTTCCTCTTCATGCATGGATCCCACATGAACGTCCAGGTGTGCTTCAAACCTACAATTAATATAAAACGAATATTGTAATATATCTCATTCCATATACAAGTCCATGCAAAAATAATACATATAAATAAAGTTGTTGAAATATAAAAAGATATTATTGGCGCACAACTTTTGGGATGGACTCGTAAACTAACATGTTTTAGGTCATGAATTCAAATCCTTGTAATTGCACTGCTTAGATGTCATCACGTGTTGGATCTTTATGTGTCGGGCTTATTATATACTATTCACATGTTAGACTTTCCAATTAATATACCCATACAATTATCCATTATCTAGCCGACACGTGAATTGAAATATAAAACTTATGTTGGCCTACCTCCTAATAAGTTAAACTTTTTGAATAGATTGGTAAATTAAGAA